CAAGTCAGGCATGCACGACATGGAGGTGGAATCGCCTTTCCTGGGCAATTTCAATGTGGATGGCGCCGCTTCTCTTCCAAAGACGGCCAGGTGCACATATCTCCGCAAGCCCTTGTCAAGTTTCCATTCTATCTTTGCATGGTTTTGTTTCAGCACAAAAGAAAGGTCGGGCATGTCCTATTGATAGAATTACTGGATACTGTAAAATGGATAATTTCTTTTACTGATTACCATAACAATAAAATAAGAACTAATCTGACATGTGCTACTGTGTCCCTTTTACACATGCCCTGTTGTCACCAAATTTCATGACTCCAAAAAAATTGCAAAATTCGAAGTGTGAAACAGGCCCCACATGCACAAGTGAAAGCATGCCTATTTTGGGGTGCCTTATACCTTGAAATAGATTAGGGGCGATTAAGATTGGCGCATGAATGCGCAATACTTCTGCTATGTGATATTTGTAAATGAAATTTGTTTTGTGTACTCTGTATCCCTTTCTTATTATTAATAGTTTGTAAATGACATAAATCATGTTTCAGACATAAACAAGTGACTGCTGAGTGGAGAAAGGCCGTTCGCCCAATTATGTGGCGATGCCAGTGGTTAGAATTGCGTATGAAGGAGCTTTCGTCGCAAGTAGCAAAGTATGACAGGGAACTTGCTTTAATCAGTCATGAAAAAGATCTGCAGTCTGAGATGATTGCAACAGATACTTCTGGTCCAGAACTGGCAAAACTGGATGCCCAAGGCCATGATAGAAATATTATGAAGAGGAGACAACGGCAAAGGCTTGAAGACATCGTGGACACCTCATTGTACATGGATAGTCATCAAATATTATCCTATTATCATGGTTTGACATCTGTCCTTATTCTGTAGGGCTAGAAATTTTATATTTTATATCCTGCAGTAGATCCGTATTTTGCACGGAGCTTGTACTGATACTTGGTAATGATGACGTGTCTCCTTCTTTTGCAGAAAGCAAAAACAGAAACAGTGGAGCTGAAACAGATGGTCTGTTGATTTACGATGATGCAGGTATGGTGGATGGCTTTGCCCCTGCACTAAGTTCTCCTATTTTATTAGTTTGAATGTAGAAAGTGTAATGTTTATCATAGTTATGTCCTATGTACATATAACATTAATTGTTTGTGCTACACAACTGTGGGTTTGGCAAGTAACTTTTATTATTAGTTTTAGATTACCTCTTTTCTAGAATTTATTTCTTTCAAAGAATGCACATTGCTCTCATTTAGAAAAGAAAGGGAAACGCTAATTACCTACTTAATATGACTCGAGCGGTATTAGCAACCCTGCTAATCAGTGCAGGCAAGTTCTGAGATGTGACATACTTGCAAAAATTTGTTGGGTGCAAACTACTGCTTGGCCTCACTTTACTATCTTTCAGTGGCGGAGCTACGGCTGGGCAAAACCAGGCCATGGCCTGCTCAGCTCAACGAAAATTTAGTGAAGACTGGTGCTGAATTTGGGCCCTAAGAGCAAAACTTCAGATGTACTGTACTAGTATTTTTTAAGCTGGTCTGTTTTGGCCCGCCCAAAGATGTGGATGTAGCTCCGGCCACTGCTATCTTTACAGCCTTTGATCTTGATATACATATGTTAGCCGCTTTTGCATCTATCGTATTTATTTTGACTGTCCATCCCTTTATGTATCTTGTTATTACTTATTTGTTGATAATATATTGGGATACGACAATATTGAATGTCATTGTAGTTATTATAGTTAGATTATTGAAGTTGGAAAACCAGAACACGTGCATCCTGGTCATTGTTTTGTATATATGGTGCGGCGTTGTTTTATTTTACCAATGTCTAATCCTTGGTTTGCTTGTAATTTCTAATGCAGTTGTTGAGGATACCAAAAGAAGAGGTCCTGACAATACATTACCGGAGTCTAAGGAAACAGACAGGGTCTTAGAACAATATTCTTTAACAGATATTCTTCGGACAATTGATAGTATCCAGTCTCGAGTCCTTAGGCTTCAAGGTCATCTCAGCAAGGTTTGCAGCCACGCACAAGTTAAGGTGCCTCCAAAGAGTCAGAAGGCTCAAACCCAGTTAGCCTCTTGTAAGAAGGATGGGCACCGTCCTCAGAAAAAGAGGGATCTGAATAGTTTGCTTCAGGAGGAGGATAAACCTAGACCACTTGTTGGAGTTCCAACTGCTTTATCAGATAGGTGCACTGACTATGCAATGGAATATGGAAAGAGAAATATCGCAGAAGAAGGTGCAACACAACCATATGCAAAAAAAGTCACATTTGAGACACTCTTTGGTGCAGATAATCCCTTAATTCATCATACTCATCTAGGAGAATTATACCAAGAAGTAAGCTCATGTTCCATATCATTCTTCTCTATTTTAACCACACAGTTTTTAAAAAATAATTATAATTTGACAATTCAGAACCAAATGTAATGAATAATCTATACTTTCAGTGTTACCATCTTAGGAGTTTCAGTTGTACGAATGCAGGTCTTTGTAATTGTAATCGTCTTGAAGTAGATTGTTGGGTAACAACCTGAAACTAATGATTTTGGGCACTGTTTACACTTTTATGAGGAAGGAGTGCTGAAGCTCATATGATTCGTGTCGTTTCCCCTATGTTTACCATCCATTCATGATTGTAGCTAACTAGTCAAGTCAAATTTAATATTAAACCATGTATCAGATTTGTAGTTTTATCCTTGAATTATTGTGAAATGGAGACATACTACCAACTTTTGGATGGACATTTGTCGAACACACTTTTAGCTGATGATTTTTTATTGTATTTGCAGAATGCTGATGATGTCCTAATAGACAATCGAGCAGCCCTAGTAGAAGGGTACCAGCAGTTTGAGAAGGTGAAGCAGGAAGCACAGAATCATGTGGAGCTGGCTAATAAGGTTGCTAACACCCTTCTTTCCAGAGGAGAAGAAACTGTTGCAAGACAGGTGGTTAAGCTTGAACCAGTTTATGAAATAGCTCCAAGTGTGAAGCAAGTCTGTCCTGGAAATAAACGAAGCAAGAAACCAAAGAAGAAATCTGGGAGCTCTCTGCCTCCTTTGGAAGAGCAAATCGAGAAGTCCCCTGATGTACCTGCAAAGAAGAGAACTGTGAAAGATCTGCACAATCTGAAGAATGAAAAGCCTGTTTTCGTAGCTGTGGACACGCGGAGGAGCCAACGAGTCCGAAAACCCAAAAAGTACGGAAGCGATTGAGTTTCAGGAACGGTCCTGTCTCCAGATTCGGTTTTGTCTTTGCTGCCCAAATTTCTGGCACATGGAAAACCAGATGTGTTACCTAATTGGTTTCTGTAAGTAGGCATAGTTTGGAAGAATATATGAAGTGGCATATCTTCGGCAGCTCCCCTTTACCTGGGACAGTAACAGCAGTAATGCTGAGTTGAGATTTTTTGGGTTGCCTGCAAATTGTTATTGTGAAACCTGCATTGTATAAAGTAACATTAGATAAAAGTATAGTCCGGCATAATACAAGTTGTTTCGTCATTGCCAGTTGTGCAAATGTATGTAAAGCCATGTTTTTTGTGTTCAGAGATCTTAGGATTCGGCAAGCAAATATGAAGTCCATGAACTAAATGTCATGTATACTGCAAACTCGTTTGGTCCATGAAGGTAGTGCTAGTAAGTCGTTTTGTTAAATGAGTAACATATTTTGTAGGTTATAATGTCTCGAAAGTATGTTTTTTCAAAACAAATGGCTACCTGTCACCGGGAGCCATATCACAACACTCAAGTGGACCTTTATTATGGACAAGTATGCGGGTGGAGAGCCAGACATAACGGACACTATCGAAAAATTAAGTACTAGCTAATTCAAATTAGGTATACATATAGAGGTATAATCATCATGTATATGTATGTACATCGTTTTCGCAAAAAAAAATGTATGTACATCGAATTAGCTATACTTATACAGGTAGAAAATTCATCTTGTATACATATTGTATGAGCGCTTGCGTCTGTACTTTGTTAAAAACAAGGCAAAGGAGAACGATAATTCCATTGTGCTACGTCATGTTTTTGCTGTCCATTTAGTGTACTCAGCTTTGACCTTCTTCAGTGTCACGACCACATCTTGCATCGTCATTCGCTGGTCAGGAGAGTCGCTAGAACAAATCAAACCCAACTCAAATACTGAAGCAAGAAACCCATCGTCCAAGGTGCAGCTAGAAAGAGAGGAGCCATGTAGTAGCTGTCCATCGACGACCTTGACAAGCTCTGCAGGATATGCCTCATGAACCCACCGCCTGAGCGTTAATTGTGCGCCAAACATAATGGCAGTGGGCTGCTTTCCAGTGAAGAGTTCAAGGAGCATGATCCCATAGCTGAAGACGTTGCTCTTCCGCGATGCTTTTCCAAGTGACATGTACTCTGTTTGAGAAAAAACAAAAATATAAATTAGATGCAGTTGCTCAACCATGTTGTTTTGAGTCGAGTCATAATTTATCATTGGTTTAAACAAATGTTTGCTGAGCAAAATAACAACAACAAGCTAATTAAATACCTGATGCCATGTACCCAACTGTTCCAGGCATGCTCGCACTTATCATGGAGTTGTCATCTAGAACCAACCTTGCAATGCCAAAGTCTGCCACATGCGCCGTCATGTCCTCGTCAAACAATACGTTGCTAGGCTTCAAGTCACGATGCAAGATCAGCTCGTAGTGCTCATGGTGTCGATAAGCCATTGCCATCGAAATATCAAGCATGATGCCCAGTCTCTCAAGGAATCCCAAGCGCGTTGTTGTGCTCTGTGATCCATGAAGGTGCAACTCTAAGCTGCCATTTGGCATGTATTGAAGCACTAGTGCTCTGAAGTCAAGGTTGGAACATGTGTTAATTATCCTTATCAGGTTGCGGTGTCGCGCCATACAAAGCACCCGACACTCCGCATCAAAGCTTCGGATGGCCTCCTCTAGTTGCATGTCAAGAACTTTTATCGCAACCACCAAACCATTGCTCAGTTGGTCCTTAAAAACTTTTCCAAAGCTTCCGCATCCCAAGATGTGTTTCATCACTGAAATTATTGGTGACGCGAACAAGCTCATGATAGGAGACTATTTGATGGCCTATGGCATCAGTTGGATCAACAGAAGCATTGTCCTTTCCCTTCTTAAGTTTCTTTCTGAACCATAGGTATACGTAAATGGCAATGGCGCCAAAAGCTAATATGAGTGTTGGCAGTAGAAATTGAAGCAAGTGTCTTTTACTTGAATGATTTCTATCAAGGCATGGTGGAAATCTTAGTCGCGGAGCGCCGCATAGCCCAGGATTCCCAACCAAAGATTTCAATGTGAGGTTTGAGAAAACACCTCCCTCGGGTATTTGTCCTTCTAGCCTATTGAATGATAGGTTCAAGGTATTCAAGTACGTAAAGTTAGCAAGGAACACTGGAATTGTACCCGAAAGATTGTTAAACGAGAGGTCCAATGATGCTAGTCTTTTTACTTTTTCGAGATGAACTGGAATTGAGCCTTTGAAGGAGTTATGTGATAGATTTAGGTAAGTAAGCATACTAAGTTGTCCAAATGTTTCTGGTATGCTTCCTATCAACAAGTTAGAAGACATGTCTATTTGATATGTTTGTCTTAGGCCAGTAACATCTACCGGTACTTCACCAGTAAAGGAATTGTGTGAAAGATCAAGTGTGATAAGTTTATCCAGGTGGAAGAAACTCGTTGGTATCGTTGAGCTTAACTGGTTATATGACAAGTCTATGCTTTCTAACCAACTAAGATTACCAAAGTTTCTTGGTACGGAGCCTGATAATTTGTTGGCTTGGAGAAACAATCGTTCTAGACTTCGAAGCATACCCATTTGTGTAGGGATAGGGCCTGGCATGTTATTCCAGGAGAGATCAAGCCATGCAAGATTTTCCAGCATAGTGATAGATTCTGGAATTGGCTCGGTGAATAGGTTATCCCGAAAATCAATCCATAGAAGGTTGCTTATATTTGAAATTGCTACTGGAAGTCCACCTGTCAACTGGTTGGCACCTGCACCAAAATAGTTTAAACGTGTTGAGAATTTTCCCACATAACCAGGGATGGTGCCTGTAAAACGATTTTTTTCAAAATCAAGGAATTGGAGTTGTCTGCACTTGGAAAGAGCTGACAAGAAATCTAGATTCCCCTCTAAATTGTTGTCTCCCAAAGCAAGAATATTCAAAACTGTATTTGTTCCAAGCATTGATGGTACTTGACCGGACAACTGATTCACTTGGAAATTTAGGTAGGACAATTTGGATAAGTTACCGAGCGAAGCTGGAAATTTACCAATCAATTGGTTGTATTGAAGATCTAGATAAGAGAGTTCCTGCATAAGACCTAATTCTGGTGGAATCTCACCTGTTAGACTGCCGTTTGCGAGTTGTAGTTGAGTGAGTTTTGTAAGATTACCAAAGGCCGCCGGGATCGAGCCAATAAGGTGATTAAAACCCAAGTTAAGTTTTTTGAGGTTTGTCAATTTGGCCAACCATGTTGGCAGAACATCCACAAAAGAATTTTCGTGCAAATCAATTACTTGTAGGTATTGACATGATGCAAACCCTGATGGTAACCGACCGGCAAATTTGTTACCATATATGGAAATAAACTGTAACATAGGGAGGCTGAAACTTTGATTGCTCGGAAAAGTTCTAGTCAGGTTACGATTATTTACTAGTGGAATTTCCTGTAATCTAGACATGTTGAACATGGCTTGTGGCACTAGGCCAGAGAGTTGATTAAAATCCAGTCTTAATAATTCAAGCATGGATAGTGATGTAACGGCGTGTGGTATAGGACCTGAGAGACTATTGTTTCCAAAATTAATGAACGTCAACATAGCCGTGTTGTTGAACAAATACGGAGGTATTTGTCCACTCAAGCCGTTCCCGTACAGATTAATCTGTGTAAGGTTACGCCTGCGTAGCATCATCTGAGGAGGGATCTGGCCTGACAACTGGTTCAAATGAAGATAGAGAAACTCGAGCCTCATGAGATTGCCTAGGGCAGCAGGTATGGCATTTGACAGGCTATTTTCATGAAGACCAAGGAACCTGAGACGATGTAGCCTACCAAGTTCGGACGGGATAGTCCCTGTGAGATTGGTGTTCCTGAGGTTAAAGACGGAAAGAAAACAAGGAGAGGCATGTCAGACAATGATAAAGCGGTGACACGTTGTCTGCGCCGGCTGCACGAGACACCAGCCCAGTGGCAGAAAGACGTGCCGGTGGTCCAGTTGGCGGCAAGGACGCCGAGACGGTCGGCGAGCTGCGCTTTGAAAGCCAGCAGGGCGGCGAGGTCGGTGTCGCTGCCGTTGGTCGGACTGGGAGAAGAAAACGAGATGGCAGAAAGCAGTACTAGGAGGAAGATGGGAATACGGGCAGGCATGGAGGACGGCGAGGCCATTGAGCTGGGCAGGAAATGGCTGTTTGGCTATGTGCAGATTACAGCGGGAGTGGTGTTGAATTTATACATGGATATGGGCTTTGTGCAGAAGCAGAACCCCATCCTTCCTGTGCCACAGGTGCATCGATCAGTCACCTTGTCATTGCCGGCGATCACACGGCGCGGCAATTAATATGCGGAGCTATCGAACCTTGCCCGAGCGACACGGTTTCTACAGGCCCAACCCAGCCAATCGTAAAGGTAAATGCATCCCACGTACAGGGATTTACCCGATAGGATCGGACGAAACCTTTTTTTTTCATGGTAATACGTGTCTCATTTATATCATAAGTATCATAGTACAAGTCACGTAACCGACCTGATAAAACTGAAAAGACAGCAGAAAGTTAGCCTTTGCGCAAAGGAACATCAACCAAGAAGTAAAATTACAATCAAGATTGAAGAAACCTCTGAACTTGACACCAACATCCGTCACCTGCCTCTGAAACCACGACAGTAGCCACCAAACGGAAAAGTGACGGATCACCTTCGCACCCGAGCTCGTAGCGGCTCCATCGCTGACATGCAGCTTTGCGGACCTCCAAGGTGGTTCACCAAAGATAAAACCATTACCGTTGAACGAATCAGACCGGGGCAACACCCCGAACACGCCATCGAACTCCAGATCTGGCACCCCCACACAACTAGAACGCCGGAGGAGAAAACCACATCTGCCATCCACGAACCGCGAACCCAGCACACGATCCACCATCTTCCAGATGCCGCCGATGCAGACCACAATCTGCATCCGCTCCTGGACTACCTCCCAAGCTCCGCGCCGGCGCTGGAGCAAACGCCGTCGCAACGGCGGAGCCCGAGGACACAGGTCCACCACAAGGATGTCGTCGCCGCAACGCAATCCTTGCTTGAACAGACTGATTGCCAAATCCATCCCCAACTATAGGACCGATCACCTTGTTGGAGTAGGGTCCGAAGAAACTTTATTCAGCGCCGCCATCGCCGCCGCCGAAGCCAAGACGATGAACGGCCTAAACTCCTAATCTACAAAAGAGAAAACGATCCACGCGCGTGGATCCGGCGACCCCCTCACCACCGACGACCGAGGCCGCCGACGGAGGAGAGCCGCCGGACGGCGGCGGCAGGGAAGACTCCTGGCGGCGAGGTCGCCTTTTCTTTCTTTTGGCGGAAGAAAGAAACGCCTTTTGTTTGCTTGCTGGGATCGGACGAAACCTCTACGCCAGCTTTACAACGGACTAGACCCGTCGATCGTGAAATGCAGAAAAAATGCAGCACAAGTATTTCCGGATGGAGGAAGTACATAAATGCTGATCAATAGTATATCTCGGATAGCGTCAAGACCGGGCTCAGGAGGGACATGCCACGGTCACGTCTTACTGCAAGACTGCCGCCTCCGGCTCACAAAATTATACTGCAGTATGAGTTTACAAAAAGAAGGTATACTGTAGTATTGTTCTGGGCGTCGCCGTGGCCACGTCGTCATGAATTTTATTATTTTTCTCAGTTTTGCTACCTCTTAGCCGGTTTGTACATTGCTCCCGAATCCGTCTACGGACACAGACACGGAAGGCAGCTATCCAATGATGCTCGCATACATTTCAACAATTTTTTAAATCAACTGAATAAATTTCATGGAAACACCGCATCCGTCTGCGGACATGGATACAGGAGGCGGTCATCCAACATTGTCCGCACACATTTCAACAACTTTTTAAACCAACCGAATAAATTTCATGGAAACACAGCGGATTTCATATAAACCGGACGATATTCATTACATTTTGGACATTCTTTTAACTAAATACTATACTGGACTAAGATAAAACTAGTCTACCGCCAGAACCGACGGATATCCATGCGCACAACACGGATACCCTTGACTAGTCTACGGCCGGTCGCGGTGGATCTCCATTGTCCTCTCCATGTCCGGCAGCCCACTCGTCGGACTGTTGTGAGCCCCAAAGGTATATGCTTCAACGCAAAGGGCGGCTAGCTTCCCAATGTTCGGCAGTGTCCCTCAACAGAGTGGAACTGCCGCGTTGTGCTTCAGCCGGAGGGAAGGGGAAGACGATGGCCTACGACCGGGCAAGACACCATCTATGTACGCCGACGTTGCCTCGGTGCTGGCCTTCATGGGACCCAAGCAGCGGCGGCCTCCATGTTCTACTTCTCCTCGATGATAGAGGTGGCGCGGACGTGCTGGCCACTGTTTCGTCCATCTCCGCGAAGCCGGCTTCTTTCTCTGCGGTAGGGTGCGGTTACGCGTACGTTGACGGTGGATGGCGTGGTCTCTGGCACGGGAGGAGCGATACGACGTGACGTCGTCCATGGCATCCACGATGCCCGTGCCGCCGTACTCTCCCGCGTGCAGGCCTGTAGCAACTCGCACTCTGCTACTTCTTGAGCTTGTGTTGGTTTTTCCCTTGAAGAGGAAAGGGTGATGCAACAAAGTAGAGATAAATATTTCCCTCAGTTAGAGAATCAAGGTATCTATCCAGTAGGAGACAATGTACAAGCCACCAATACCTGCACAAACAATCAAACAATTTGCACCCAACATGATAAAGGGGTAGTCAATCCCTTCACGGTCACTTGCAAAAGTGAGATCTGATAGAGATAGATAAACAAAATATAAAATATTTTTAGGTCTTTTGGTTTATAGATCTGAAAGTAAAAGATTGCAAAATAGTAGATCGGAAACTAATATGATGAAAAATAGTAGATTGGAAACTAATATGATGGAAAATAGACCCGGGGGTCATAGGTTTCACTAGAAGCTTCTCATGAAGGCAAATAATATGGTGGGTGAACGAATTACTGTCGAGCAATTGATAGAAAAGCGCAAAGTTATGACGATATCCAAGGCAATGAATGTGAAATATAGGTGTCACGTCCGTGTCAAGTAGACCAACTCCTGCCTGCATCTACTACTATTACTCCACACATCGACCGACTCCTGCCTGCATCTACTACTATTACTCCACACATCGACCGGCTCCTGCCTGCATCTAGAGTATTAAGTTCATGAAGAACAGAGTAACGGTTTAAGTAAGATGACATAATGTAGAGGAATAAACTCAAGCAATATGATGTAAACCCCATCTTTTTATCCTTGATGGAAACTGAGGGAGTCCTGGATTAGGGGGTGTCCGGATAGCCGAACTATCACCTTTGGCCGGACTCCTGGACTATGAAGATACAAGATTGAAGACTTCGTCCCGTGTCTGGGTGGGACTTTCCTTGGCGTGGAAGGCAAGCTTGGCGATACAGATATGTAGATCTCCTACCATTGCAACCGACTCTGTGTAACCCTAACCCTCTTCGGTGCCTATATAAACCCGAGGGTTTTAGTCCGTAGGACGAACAACAATCATACCACAGGCTAGCTTCTAGGGTTTAGCATCTCTGATCTCGTGGTAGATCTACTCTTGTACTACCCATACCATCAATATTAATCAAGCAGGAGTAGGGTTTGACCTCCATCGAGAGGGCCCGAACCTGGGTAAAAACATCGTGTCCCTTGTCTCCTGTTACCATCCACCTAGACACACAGTTCGGGACCCCCTACCCGAGATCCGCCGATTTTGACACCGACATTGGTGCTTTCATTGAGAGTTCCTCTGTGTCGTCATCTTTAGGCCCGATGGCTCCTTCGATCATAAACAACGATGTGGTCTAGGGTGAGACTTTTCTCCCCGGACAGATCTTCGCATTCGGCGGCTTTGCACTGTGGGCCAATTTCCTTGGCCATCTGGAGCAGATTGAAAGCTACGCCCCTGGACATCAGGTCAGATTTGGAAGTTTGAACTATACGGCTGACGTCCGCGGAGACTTGATCTTCGACGGGTTCGAGCCACAGCCAAGCGCGCCGCACTGTCACGATGGGCATGATCTAGCTCTGCCGCCGGACAGTGCCTTGGAGGCCGCACAAGTGTCCGCTCCGACCCTTAGCTCGGAGCCAACTGCGCCGATCGAGGACGGGTGGCTGGACACCGCCTCGGGGGCTGCTATCTCTACGGCGATTGAGCCGAACACCAACCCTGTCCTTTGCGAAGCTCATGACTCCAAGGTGCCGGACTCCTCTCCGGACTCCAAACCTTTCGCGCCCCTGCCAATCGAATCCGATTGGGTGCCGATCATGGAGTTCACCACCGCGAACATCTTTCAGCACTTGCCCTTTGGCGACATCCTGAATTCACTAAAGTCTCTCTCTTTATCAGGAGAGCCCTGGCCGGATTATGGTCAGCAAGGTTGGGATGCGGACGACGAAGAAATTCAAAGCCCACCCACCACCCACTTCGTAGCCACTGTCGAAAGTTTAAACAACATGCTCGATTTAGACTCTGAAGACATCGACGGTATGGACGAGGATGTAGGAGATAAGCATGAACCAGCACCTATAAGGCACTGGACAGCCACCTCATCTCACAATGTATACATGATGGACACACCTAAAGGAAGAGACAACGAGGAACAACGGGACGCCACGAGGGATCATTCCCTCGAAAAGCAGTCAAAACGGCGACGTAAGCGCCGCTCAAAATCCCGCCTCGACAAAGACAACAACCA